CATTCCTAATTGTTCCTCAAGAAGTATTACAGCCTCTGTAGTTCAGTGGTGAAAAGCATGAAACTTAGAAACACACCTAAAAGCAAACCTTATTTATACTACATGAAAACAGTGCGCTATTAAGAAGAAAATGAAACTCTAGGCTGTGGTTAGCTATAAAATTTAAGTGAAAATAATACCCTACCTCTCAAGGTTATTGTGAAACTCAAAAGAGATGATAGATGTAATACATTTAGCACAGTACCAGGTACATTGTAAGTATGTAATAAATGAACACTCTTAATACACATATTTAACTTATAATTCCTTTTTCACTCCTAGCCACTTATCTAAATCCTTGCCATCAATCCCACCTCTTAAGACCTCTACAAAATTTATTTTCTTCTTTTCATGTATTCTTTGTGTGTGTGTGTGCGCGTGCGCACGCACACGCTTTATTCCCTCCCCTCACTAGTTTATTTACAAAACTCAAATACAAATTTGAACAAATTCTTTCAATTTCCCTTCCCCCTCACCCATCAAATTGTACAACCCAATGATTAATCCCTCTCTCCCCCTGCACATCCACATCCCTCTGCTTCCAGCCTCTCCCACCCCTCCTGGATCCTTCTACTCATTCCAAAATAACAGTTTTATATAATATTTATCCTTATAGACTGAGTTAGTTCACTCAGCATAATGCTCTCCAGTCCCTCAGTTAGATAACAATTTACAAAGGTATTGCTCCTGCGTGCTGCATAATATCCTATTGTGTGACTATACCATAATTTCTCAATCCATTCATTTGTCGTTGGACATTTGGGTTGTTTCCATGTTCTTGGGATGGTGAGTAATGCTGCTATGAATATTGGTGTATAGATCTCAGTTTGTGCCTCAGTTCTCATATTCTCAGGGTATATTCCAAGTACTGAAATAGCTGGGTCAAATGGAATTTCTATGTTCAGCTTTTTGAGAAAGCACCAAACTGCCTTCCAGAATGGTTGCACCATTTTTCAATCCCGCCAACAATGTCTAAGAGTTCCCTTTTCACTACATTCTCTCCAACATCTGTTACTTGCTTCCCTGTTAAATTTTGCCACTGTTACTGGAGTGAGATGGTACCTTATCATGGTTCTGATTTGCATCTCTCTTATTGCCAGTGATTTGGAGCATTTCTCTAGACTTCCACCTGCAGAAAGCTGAAACAGGATCCACATCTCACACCACACACAAAAATCAACTCAACCTAAGATCAGAGACCTGGGGGTAAAGCCCCAAACCATAATATTCATAATAGACAAACTTGGATCAAGCTTAGAAGCACTAGTCCTAGGTATAAAGAAACTGCCAAATACAACCAGAAATGTACAGTCTAAAGAGGATAAAATCGATTCATGAGACCTTCTAAAGACTAAATCCCTGTGCTTATCAAAAACTTTTTTCAACAGGGTGAAAAGAAAACCTACAGACTGGGAACAAACATTTGGTAAAATCACCTCAGAAAAGTGTCTCATAAAAAAAGTTTACAGAATACTCCTGGGCCTCCACAAGAAAAAGACTGATAATCCATTTACAAAATGCCTAAAGACATGCAAAGAATTTTAACTGAGGAAGATATTTTCATGTATTCTTGAGAACTTCTGGTATAAATTATATTAATACTGATCTCTAATACAGGGCCTATTGTTGTTATTACGTGCCACCAAATCACTTGAGACTCAGTGATCCTATGTACAGTAGCTCTCAACCCTGCCCTATCCTGAGCCAATCTCACTGTCTGTGACACATATGCTCCCATTACCCCGGTTACTGTGTCAATCCATCTCATCTGGGGTCTTACTTTCCTGTGCTGTCCTGCCAAACATGGTATCTACCCTTTTAAACATGCTATTTTTCTCTAAGGACTGGTCCAAGGAATATCTTGGTTTCACCCTCTCCATGAAAAACCTGTTTGTTGTCTTGACAGTCCATGGTATATTCAGAAGTCTTCTAGAGCACCACAACTCAAAGGCATCAATTCTTCTTCTATAATTGTTAATCATTGTCCAGCTTTCTGATGCATAGCAAGTAACTACAAAGACAATGGCCTGGGACAAGTGCACCTTGGTCTCTTGATTGGCAGTGTTGCTATTCAGCACACTGGAGAGGTCCCTGACAATTATTTTCCCAATGAAATTCATCTTTTGATTTTTTTGACTGCTGCTGCCAACAGTGTTGATTGTGGAGCCAAGCAAGTTGAAATGATAGATACCATAGTCATTGTTGTTGTTGTTATGTTCATCGAGTAGCTTGTGACTCATAGCGACCCTATGTACAACAGCCCTAAACTCTGTTCTATCCTGTGCCAATCGCACTGTCTCTGACACTCCCATACCTATTACCCCAGTCACTGAATCAATTCGCCTCATAGAGGGCCTTCCCCTCCTGTGCTGTCCCTCCACTCTCCCAAGCATGATGTTCTTCTCCAAGGACTGGTCTCTCCTTACAACAGGTCCAAAATATGTTAGATGGAGCCTCAGAATCCTTGCCTCCAAGGAGCCACCCGCTTTAACCCTTTCCAGGATGAATCTGTTTGTTTTCCTATCAGTCCATGGTACCCTTAATCCTCTTCTCCAGCACCACAGCTCAAAGGCATCAATTCTCCTTCTGTCCTTCTTGGTCATTGTCCAACTCTCTGATGCATAACAAGTGATTGCAAAGACCATAGCCTGTATCACACACACCTTAGTCTCCAGAGAGACACCATTGCTCTTCAGTACTTTGGAGAGGTTCCTAACAGCAGACTTTTCCATGGCAATATGCCTTTTAATTTCCTGGCTACTGGTGCCAAGAGTGTTGACTGTGGAGCCAAGCAAACTGAAGCTGTGAGCAATCTCAATCTCTTCATCATCCATCCTGATTCTGCCTGTTGGCCCAGTGGTGAGAATCTTTGTCTTCTTGACGTTGAGCCTCAATCCATATTGGAGGATGCAGTCCTTGACCCTCTGCAGCAAGCGCTTCAGGTCCTCTTCAGTTTCAGCAAGCAGGGATGTGTCATCTGCATAGGCATGTTACTATCATCATATTATCTTTTTTGTTCTCAACTCTCTTATTTGGCTTGAAATTATTATATTCTTTGTATAGTAACATAACAGAAAGCCAAGATAAAACTCACTAAATTATTTGTCCTGTGTTATGGATACAATAAGTGACAAATCTAGCAATTTTAAAGCCTTCACTATATTCTCATATCTGAGTTAATGAAAAATAAAATGCAATTGGATAAAGTTTAAAGAAAAATATTACAGAAAGTAGAATCAAGAGAAATTGGTTATTTTTCTAAGGTTTTGTAAAAATGTGAAAAACTAAGATAAAGAAACAGTATAATAAATAGTGTCATTTGAATGCCTTATTTATAGTCCCATTTCTTTATTCGGGAAAAATAAAGATGAAAGGATATGGCAGCAGAGAGCAGCCCAAGTAATTCAGATTTCATATAAAGGTATTAGAAGATGAAACTGATTTGCCTTTATGACATTGGAAAAAGAATTAGACAAAGGAGACTTTTCTAGGTATTTAAACACTAAAAAGAAAGGCTTGGATTGATGAGAAAAATTAATGGTAAAATGGCTCTTCTATATTAAAATTCTCATTCAGCATTGATTTTTTTTTTATCTTTCCAAGTCACACAGATGTGCACATAAGGATGATTGAATTACAAGTCCAATAAATAAAGGTATAGAGAGCGCTGGGCAAACATTAGAGGGAACAAAGATAGTTGTGTTTCCATATGCAAGACAAGCTTAGGTAACTAATGCATTCACAAGAGTTTTTTAAAGAACTCTGTTAATTACAGAAATTAGCAAAAATCCACCAGAATTAGGGAGTATTTAGCTAATGCATATTACCTAGTTTAGGGGTCCTCTTAGGGGAACTCTAGTGGAAGAGTCCATATGTGGTCGTGCTGTTAACTCAAAGAATGCACCTCTCTGGCTTTCAAACGTACCAGCAGCTCCCTAGAGAAAGATAAGCAAGCTTGTCTGTATGATTTCCAGCATAGGGAAATTCACTGGAGGGTCAGTTATGAGTAGTCTCAACTCCATGGCAGAGAGTTTTAAGTTTTATTATTCTATCAAATAAAAATTGAAACAGATGTGGGTGAGAGAACAATTTAAAAGCGATATATGATAGGGTATTATGGTTATCACAAGAGTCCAGAATTAAGGTTGCATTGTGGAGTCTACTCGAGGTGGTGGAGGTAGGGGAGGGAGACTGCAGGGGGATTGTATACCATTGAAAGAATTTCTCTTTTACTTTTCAAAGAGAGGAGTGAACTGGGGGGGGAGGGCTGAGCAGGGAGAAAAGTGCAACAATGAATGAATGGAAATCCAAAATCTCTGTAAATGTTCATTTAAATTAATAAAATTAAATTAATAAAAAAAGAAAATAATTGGTAGTGCAAGTACTTAAAAAATTATCTTCTTTAGTACATGTTGTTGTTGTTGTTAAAGTTTCATAGTAGAATTGAGTCCTCAGCTTTCATGAAGTTTGTGAATACATGGTATGTATTGTAATGTTTTATATGATCAGACAAAGTGCATGGTAAATCATTACAGATGGCCTCTGCAGTTTGCTACTGTTTGCCTTTATATCATCACATTAGATTATAAGGAACAAATTAATTTGAATTGGTTATTCACTTTTTTGAATGGTTTTCACTTATGTTTAACCCTAAAGCATTACCTCATACTATTTACTGTCAGTTTGTAAGCTCTGCTCTGAACTCATTTAATTCTGAGCCATAGGAAAAAAATTACTTCTAGCCAGCCAAGCTGTTGTCATATGCCCTCTAACTCACATTTTAATAAATGTCATTTTCTAAGTGCATTACCTCATGCTTTGGCTACAATCCAGATGACTCCTGAGAGAATAAAAGAAATGTGCTTTCTGACTGATTCATCCATATTTTATTTTACTTTTCATTAAGAAATTACTCTTTGAAAAAAATCAATATTCGTCTGTGATTGAGGGTAGAGGTTAGCATGTCACAAGTGGCACATTCTAATATCTCAACTCAGACTGCTTTCAGACGGCTGTTGCTGATGAAGTTTCTGTCCTTTCTTGTTCCTACAGCCTGGGTACATGGTGACCCCAGGAGAATGGCCTATCCTACAAACAGCCAGGGGCAGTTTTGTGGCCAGAAGGACACCCCCAATGAGTGAGTATGGCCACTTTTGTTTATTTGATAATACTGTCAGAGTTAGAGCCTAGAAATCACTTTTACATTAATCCTACCAGAATTCTGAAAATTACTGAAATGCCTAAGAGATCTTCTCTGTCCTTTGTTTTAGAGACAACTTAGAAGCAGTGGGAAAAGTCATACTATACAGCTTAAGTCATGATGCAGTCATTGTTATGAAGCTCTTTACTAATAGAATGCATGGAGATACATCTTAGTAAAAATAACATTAGAGTGAGTGGATTAGAAAAAGCTATTTTGCATTTAAAAATAGATCGGTAGCCATAGTTTAAAATCCCTTATGAGATAGGCTATTTTAAGGGCTGAGGTATGAGTAACTGCTAAAAACTCAGACTGCCTAGTTGAAAAAATTACTTTTGCTACTGTCCTACTGATAGATCATTTCACCTTTTAAAATGAGGGCCTCATCCGGAAGTCATCAATGCATGGCATGCTTTTTAAGGCAAGGTGGCTGCTGTGGACAGTGTCCACATATAATGGAAAGAAAGATGAATTTTCCATCAACTTCCTTTATAATGCTAACTAAAATGTAAGATTCCATTTCTGAAAGCAAGTGTTCTATTTCATTATCTTAAAATAATGGAATCTTACTCTTTAGAAAACTTGCCTTTCTTTCTTACTGGTGCATTTTGTTTCTGTTGGTCCTTATGATAAGTGTTTAGGTTCTTCCTAACCAATTACATTTTGAGGAAAGTTGATAAACCCACTCCTGTCAAGTTGATTCTGATTCAAGGTGTTTCTGTATTGGATTTCATAAGCCATAAATCTCAATAGGACGAGATAGTTTCTTTTCTCCTGCAGAATGGCCAGTGGAATTGAAGAGCTGACCTTTTGTACATAATAGTGTAGAAAATACGGTGCCACCTAAAACAAACAAACAAAAACAACCACCAAAACCCTTCAAAATCATTGCTGTCAATTTGGAACTGATAGCCAATCCTCCATTGGATTCTCAGAGCCTATAAAATGCATGAGAGGAGATTGCCTGTCTTTCTTCTTACGATCAACTGGTAAATTCAAGCTGTTTGCACTTGGTTTGCCAGAGCTATCACCTACACACTAAGCCACCAGAACTCCCATAAACTCACTGCTATTGAGTCAGAATTGACTCACAGCTTACTGTCCAGCTGTTTTTTCAGACATGGTAAATATCACAGAAGATTGCTGTCGTTGTTGTTGTTATGTTCTATCAAGTCGCTTGCGACTCATAACGACACTATGTACAAGAGCCCTAAATGCTGTTCTATCCTGTGCCAGCCTCGCCATCTTCAAACACACTCATTCCCACCACTCCACTCAGAATCGATCCATCTCATCGAGGGTCTTCTCCTGTGTCATCCCTCAACTCTCCCAAACATGATGTCCCTCTCCAAGTACCAGTCTCTTCTTGCAACATGCCCAAAGTATGTCAGATGAAGTTTCAGAATCCTTGACTCCAAGGATCATTTTGGCTTCATCTTTTCCAGGAAAAACCTGTTTGTTCTCCTAGCAGTCCATGGTATAGTCAACACAGTTCTCCAGCACCACAACTTAAAGGCATCAATTCCCTATTATTTCTATTCATTGTCCAACTCTCCGATGAATATTACGTAATTGCAAAGACTATAGCCTGGATCAGGCGCACCTTAGTCTTCAGCCTGACATCGTTGCTCTTCAGTATTCTTGAGAGGTCCCTCACAGCTGACTTTCCCAATGCAATTCTCTCCAAGTGTCTGAGTATTCAAACCACCTGCCTTTGGATTGGCAACATAACTCCTTGTCCGGTAGGCCACTAGAGCCCACAATGTCACCAGGACTTAAAAACTGGTATCTAATGGGTATGGGGAACAGACAAAACTCAAGCAACACTGCTCTTCTCAGAAAGCAACAATGAAAACTGACTCAGAACACTTCACATATGGTCCTTGTGTGGTCTACAATGGAGGAGCTACTTACCCTAAGAGAAACGTGTTGTTGCTACATGCCATTGAGTTGCCTGCAACTCAAAGCAATCCTATGTACAACAACCCTAAATCCTACTCTATCCTGTACCAATATTATTGTCTCTGACACACTTGCCCCTATTACCCCAGTCACTGAATCAATACATCTCATCAAGGGTCTTCCTCTCCTGCACTGTCCCTCCACCCTCCCAAGCATGACATCCCTCTCCAAGGACTGGTCCCTCCTTGCAACATGCCCAAAGTATGTCCGACTAAGCTTCAGGATCCTTGCCTCCAACGAGCAGTTTGGCTTCAACCTCTCCAGAATGAATGTGTTTGTTCTCTTAGCAGTCCATGGTATATTCAGTACTTTTCTCCAACACCACCGCTCAAAGTTATCAATTCTCCTTCTATCATCCCTAGTCATTGTCCAGCTCTCTAAGGCATAGCAAGTGATTGCAAAGACCATGGCCTGTATCAGGTGCACTTTGGTCTCTAGACTGACATCTTTGCTCTTGAGTATTTTGGAAAGATCTCTGATAGCAGACTTTCCCAACACAATGCTTAGAAAAAAAATAAAGATTCAAGAAACTAAAAAAATTAATTGAATCAAGTCATTAAAGATGTTGATGTTGCTGTTATATGCTGTCAAGTCACCTGCAACTCATAGTGACCCTATATACAAAAGCGATAAACCCTGTTCTATCCCGTGCCAATATTATTGTCTCTGACACACCTACTCTCATCACCCCAGTCACTGAATCAATTCATCTCATTGACGGTCTTCGAGTACTCTGTCTACCTTGACCTGCTCTATTTTGAGCCAACCTCATTGTCTCTGACACACCTACCTCTATTACCCCATAGTATATTCAATACTTTTCTCCAGCACCACAGCTCAAAAGCATCAATTCTTCTCAAGGGAAATAAATTTATGGGAAATAGCTAAGTTTCTAATAATTTCACTTTGATATTTTTAAAGGAAAAGTTAACTCCTACAAAAGGTCTTCAGTTCATATTAGAAAACACTGCAGTAAATCCTGATCTAAGGTGGTTGTTGTTGCTGTTGACTGCCTTTGGGTCGAGCACGACTCATAATGACCCTATGAATAGAAGTCCTGAAGCCTTTCTACAACTACTGACATTTATCAAAGTTCATAGAGTTTCTGGAGGTATGTTACTTAGGAAGTGGATTTTGTAACTCTGAAAATTCCAAATATTACACTATGAAGAAGGACAAAGAAAGTACCCGGTGGTTTAAAAAAAGAATCATCTAATTCTCTAAATCTCTAATTTGAAACAGATTTTGTTTCTAAAAGGATCTCTGTAACAATACATTTCCTAGACCTAAGCCAATGGCCCACTTACTGAAAGTTTGATATCATAATTTTACTGTATATGGTTGTTGTTGTTATTAGATGCCTTCAAGTTGCTTATGAGTCACAGTGACCCTATGTACAATAACTCTGAACTCTGCTCTATCTTGAGCCAACCTCATTGTCTCTGACACACCTACCTCCATTATTACGCCAGTTACTGAGGCAATCCATCTCATTGAGGGTCTTCCTCTCTTGCGCTGTCCCTCCACCTTGCCAAGTATGATGTCCCTCTCTAAAGACTTGATCAATCCTTAAAATATGCCCAAAGTAAGTCAGACAGAGCTTCAAAATCTTTGCCTCCAAGTAGCAGCCTGACTTCACCTTCTCCAGGATGAACCTGTTTTTTCTCCTAGCAGTGTATATTCAATACTCTTCTATAGCACTGTACTTCAAAGGCATCAATTCTTCTTCTATCATCCTTAGTCATTGTCCAGCTTTCTGATGCATAGCAAGTAAATGCAAAAACCACGACCTGAATCAGGTGCACCTTGCTCTCTAGACTTACATCGTTACTCTTCAGTACTCTCGATAAAGATCATTAAATGATTATTCTAGCTTAACACATGTTTATTGAAGTTTTAATATTCTAATAGATACCACATGTATCTAACAATATGTGTATGGTAAACAATGAGTGATTCACATAATGAAATATAGTGGCTGTATTAACCACTATGCTAATGTTTTCAATAAGTAGTTTTTAGATTTTGTCTTAATCATAATTTCCTGCTCCTTTTGGAAAATTTTAATATTTCCCTACATTTCTCCAGTGCTTTCAAGAGATTAAGATTGTTCACAGCTTTAGTTTGCTTGGCTCCACAGTCAACACTCTTGGCATCAGTAGCCAGGAAATTAAAAGGCACATTGCCATGGGAAAGTCTGCTGTTACGGACCTCTCCAAAGTACTGAAGAGCAATGGTGTCTCTCTGGAGACTAAGGTGCGTCTGATACAGGCCATGGTCTTCGCAATCACGTGTTACCCATCAGAAAGTTGGACAATGACCAAGGAGGACAGAAGGAGAATTGATGCCTTTGAGCTGTGGTGCTGGAGAAGAGTATTGAGAGTACCATGGACTGCTAGGAAAACAAACAGATTCATCCTGGAAAGGGTTAAACCAGGTGGCTCTTTGGAGGCAAGGATTCTGAGGCTTTGTCTAACATACTTTGGACCTGTTGTGAGGAGAGACCAGTCCTTGGAGAAGAACATCATGCTTGGGAGGGTGGAGGGACAGCACAGGAGGTTAAGGTCCTCTATGAGGTGGATTTATTCAGTTACTGAGATAATCAGGATGGGAGTGTCAGACAGTGAGATTGGCACAGGACAGAGCAGAGTTTAGGGCTATTGTACACAGGATCGCTATGAGTCGCAAGTGACTCAATGGCGCATAACAGTAACAACAACAGCGTATTTAATTTCTAATCCACTTGGAGGGAGCTCTGATGACATGTGTAACAAGTTGCCCTGACAACCCAAAAGCTGACTTCTCAGGTTTTTTGAAGCCATCAGCTGCTTTTAGGGAAAAAGATGAGCAGTCTCGTCTCATTTCAAGGTTTAGCTTAAATAATCCTGTGGAAAGTCACTGTGAGTCAGAATTTGTTTGAAGACGATGAGTTGGAGTTTTAATCCACCTAGAATTTAATTTTGTATATGGAATAA